TAAAAATAAAAAATAAAAAGTAAAAAAAACACAAATATATATATATATATATATATATATATATATATATTAAAAAAAAAACAATAAAAATGACAAAAATACTAAAACTTTAACTAAAAATGTAATTGAAAACAGAAAAAATCTAAATAAAATCAAATTCAAGATATAATCAATAAACTAGCATACCAACGATACTACAAGATCAGCTTAATAAACACTTCTGAAATGTCTAAACTTAGCTGACATATGTAATCAAATGAAAACACAAAGGGACAGTGAATGTGCAGATCTGCTGCATTAACTGACCTGTAACAGGAGCGGCAGCAGGAATCGCAGAAGCTCGTCCTCGCCAGGTCTGATCTTCTCAAAACACTCCAGCACCCAGGTGAGGAACTCATGTCTGTCTAACATGCCATCCTGTTACACATGTGCACATACACATAATAAACAATCCCATCAACACATACAACAAAAACACTCCCCTTTTGCTAAAGACTTATAAATGGTCACAGCAGGCAGTATGATATACGTGACCCTGGAGCACAAAAGCAGTGTTAAGTCGCTGGGGGATATTTGTAGCAATAGCCAAAAAAAAAACATTATATGGGTCAAAATTATCGATTTGTATTTTATGCCAAAAATCATTAGGATATTAAGTAAAGATCATGTTACATGAATATATTTTGTAAATTTCCTACTGTAAATATATCAAAACGTAATTTTTGATTAGTAATATGCATTGCTAAGAACTTCATTTGAACAACTTTAAAGATGATTTTCTCAATATTTCGATTTTTTTGCACGCTCAGATTCCAGATTTTCAAATAGTTGTATCTCGGCCAAATATTGTCCTATTATCCTAACAAACCATACATCAATGGAAAGTTTATTTATTCAGCTTTAGTCCAAGGTCACATCTGATGCTCTTTAATGCACTGTGACAGGCATATCGTTCCAGCCCTTATATATAAACTCATGTTCAAAAGTCTAGGGCCAGATTTTTTTTATTTAATTAAAGAAAATTGTATCTCGGCCAAATATTGTCCTATTATCCTAACAAACCATACATCAATGGAAAGTTTATTTATTCAGCTTTAGTCCAAGGTCACATATCTGATGCTCTTTAATGCACTGTGACAGGCATATCGTTCCAGCCCTTATATATAAACTCATGTTCAAAAGTCTAGGGCCAGATTTTTTTTATTTAATTAAAGAAATTAATTATTTTATTCAGCAAGGATGCATTAAATTGATCAAAAGCAGCAGTGAAGACATTTATAATATTATAAAAGATTTGTGTTTCAAATAAATGCTGTTCTTTTAAACTGTCTTTTCAAAGAATCCAGAAAAAAAGTATCACAGTTTGCACAAATAAATGTGTTTTGCCCAGCAAATCAGCATATTAGAATGATTTCTGAAGATCGTGTGACACTGAAGACTGGAGTAATGATGCTGAAAATTAAGATTTGATCACGGAAATAAATTACAGTTTAAAATATATTACAATAATAAACAGTTATTTTAAATTGTAATAATATTTCATAATACTGCTGTATTTTTGATCAAATAAATGCAGCCTTGCTGAAGAAACTTCTTTCAAAAACTGAAATCTTCCCAAGCCCAAACTTTTACATGGTGGCGTATATATAATAGGTGAGGTGACTTTCAATGAATGGACAAAAATAATGAGAGCGTATTTAGAAATATCTTCATTTGTGTTCCAAAAATAAACAAACATTATGGGTTTGGAATGACGAGGGTGAGTAAATGATGAAATTGTTATTTTTGGGTGAACTATCCCTTTAAAAACGTAATCTCTGTGGGACATAACTCCATGTTTCTAGTTGACAGCCCTCTGTATTAAGAGACAGCTGCACTGCATCTGTAAATAAAACTGGGCTCACCTACCTGAAACATGAACATGGCCAGCTTCTCGTTGTACTCCCACTGTTTCATGGCGGTTTCCACCTCAGCAGGAGGAGCGGGCAGAGGAGACCCACAGCCCTGGCTGGGAGACTGTCTGTAAAACTCTGCCACCTTCTGCAGCTGCTCCCACAGGTATTTAGTAATTATCTGAGTCCATTCTGCAGAAGCCAGATAAAGCCAGTGAGGCATTGCAGCACAAAGCCCAACTACACAGCACAACAACAGAGGACATTTTATCTTCATTCCCAGATTAAACGAGGACAGTGTTGCATGTTCGATAGAGCCAAATTACTACACGAGCATATAAAGTAGAGCGTGTACAATACCCATACTAACCTATGCAGGGGTCAATGACATGCCTCTTCTTCACCTTGGTTTCGGTTATGGCAGCGTGATATGCACACGTCATTTTAATCATCCAAGCAGATCGCATCACCGGCACACAGTACTTGGCAAGGTAGCCAAACACTTCCTCTTTCTTGCTGAAGATGGGAACCTAGTGCACACACACAGCAATGAGACTAATGCAAAACCTAAAGGATTCGTTCACTTCCAGAATAAAAATCTCCTGATAATTTACTCACCCCTGTGATATCAAAGATGTTCATGTCTTTCTGTCTTCAGTCGCAAAGAAATTACGGTTTTTGAGGAAAACATTCCAGGATTTTTCTCCATATAATGGACTTCAATGGTGCACAACGTGCTGAAGGTCCAAACTGCAGTTTCAGTGCAGCTTCAATTTCCAGACATTGGCAAGAGGAAGCCGCAGGTCAATCAGAAGGACAACTTCTGGCTCGTCACAGCGCGGTCGCAGAGCTCAATTAATAACTGGTTCACAGACTTGGCCGGGACTAAACCCTTAACTCAGCTCGCTAAAAAGGTTCGCTTTTGCCATGCTGCGGTTTGTAAACTCTGAACAGAGCGCTTGTGTCGATACAGAACATGCTGTTAACAGCACGCAGACCTTTACTGAATTTCACAGAACACGGTCAAATGGTTTGTGATCTTAAAGGATTAGTTCACTTCCAGAATAAAAATCTGATAATTTACTCACCCCCACGTCATCCAAGATGTTCATGTCTTTTTGTCTTCAGTCGCAAAGAAATTAAGGTTTTTGAGGAAAACATTCTATGAGTTTTCTCCATATAATGGACTTCAATGGTGCACAACGTGCTGAAGGTCCAAACTGCAGTTTCAGTGCAGCTTCAAAGAGCTCTACACGATCCCAGCCGAGGAATAAGGCTCTTATCTAGCGAAACCATCGCTCATTTAATTTTTTTTTAAAAAGGTATATACTTTTTAAACCACAAATGCACATCTTGCACTAGCTCCGCGATGCGCGTCCGCAAATTCTCGCATTACATAATCACGTCAAAACAATCCGACATCGTTGTTTTACCTTTTTCTGTAAAGGACATTTGACTTTCTTTGCACGTTCACTTTGTAAACACTGGGTCGGTACTTCTGTGACCTTTCCAGTGCGATTATGTAATGCGTGAAGTCGAGCTAGTGCAAGACCAGCATTTGTGGTTAAAGTATATAAATGTTTATTTTTTTTAGAAAATGACTGATGTTTCGCTAGTCAGATAAGAGCCTTATTCCTCGGCTGGGATCGTGTAGAGCTCTTTGAAGCTGCACTGAAACCGCAATTTGGACCTTCAGCCCGTTGTGCACCATTGAAGTCCATTATATGGAGAAAACTCATAGAATGTTTTCCTCAAAAACCTTAATTTCTTTGCGACTGAAGACAAAAAGACATGAACATCTTGGATGACGTGGGGGTGAGTAAATTATCAGATTTTTATTCTGGAAGTGAACTAATCCTTTAAGATCACAAACCATTTGACCGTGTTCTGTGAAATTCAGTAAAGGTCTGCGTGCTGTTAACAGCATGTTCTGTATCGACACAAGCGCTCTGTTCAGAGTTTACAAACCGCAGCATGGCAAAAGCGAACCTTTTTAGCGAGCTGAGTTAAGGGTTTAGTCCCGGCCAAGTCTGTGAACCAGTTATTAATTGAGCTCTGCGACCGCGCTGTGACGAGCCAGAAGTTGTCCTTCTGATTGACCTGCGGCTTCCTCTTGCCAATGTCTGGAAATGTGTTGCAGCGTAACTTCTCTGCAATGATGCTGCTGAAGTTTGAGCTGATCTGAAAAGCAGAAGGTAACAGGAATGCCAAAGGTAAACGAATGAGCTTGGTTGGTTGATGTTTTTACACCACGCCAGGTTCCTTGGCTATTTTCATGGTGAGTAACAAGTTGAAACAGTATAAAAGAGCAATTTAAAAACCTATGTCAGGTTTGGAACAAAAATGGATTCAGGGTCGACTTTGCCTTCGAGTGTTTGAGGAGTAAAATAATTTCCTGAGAGAACTTAAACCAACACAGTGGATATTCATTTGATATTGAGAACTTGTGTTGAGAACTAGTTTCTTTTATATACATTTATCCATTCATTCATTCATTCATTCATAATCATTAATTTTATTGTTCCATTTAACCATATAATCATTTTTTTTAAAAAGGTATATACTTTTTAAACCACAAATGCACATCTTGCACTAGCTCCGCGATGCGCGTCCGCAAATTCTCGCATTACATAATCACGTCAAAACAATCCAACATCGTTGTTTTACCTTTTTCTGTAAAGGACATTTGACTTTCTTTGCACGTTCACTTTGTAAACACTGGGTCGGTACTTCTGTGACCTTTCCAGTGCGATTATGTAATGCATGAAGTCGAGCTAGTGCAAGACCAGCATTTGTGGTTAAAAAGTATATAAATGTTTATTTTTTTTAGAAAATGACTGATGTTTCGCTAGTCAGATAAGAGCCTTATTCCTCGGCTGGGATCGTGTAGAGCTCTTTGAAGCTGCACTGAAACCGCAATTTGGACCTTCAGCCCGTTGTGCACCATTGAAGTCCATTATATGGAGAAAACTCATAGAATGTTTTCCTCAAAAACCTTAATTTCTTTGCGACTGAAGACAAAAAGACATGAACATCTTGGATGACGTGGGGGTGAGTAAATTATCAGATTTTTATTCTGGAAGTGAACTAATCCTTTAAGATCACAAACCATTTGACCGTGTTCTGTGAAATTCAGTAAAGGTCTGCGTGCTGTTAACAGCATGTTCTGTATCGACACAAGCGCTCTGTTCAGAGTTTACAAACCGCAGCATGGCAAAAGCGAACCTTTTTAGCGAGCTGAGTTAAGGGTTTAGTCCCGGCCAAGTCTGTGAACCAGTTATTAATTGAGCTCTGCGACCGCGCTGTGACGAGCCAGAAGTTGTCCTTCTGATTGACCTGCGGCTTCCTCTTGCCAATGTCTGGAAATGTGTTGCAGCGTAACTTCTCTGCAATGATGCTGCTGAAGTTTGAGCTGATCTGAAAAGCAGAAGGTAACAGGAATGCCAAAGGTAAACGAATGAGCTTGGTTGGTTGATGTTTTTACACCACGCCAGGTTCCTTGGCTATTTTCATGGTGAGTAACAAGTTGAAACAGTATAAAAGAGCAATTTAAAAACCTATGTCAGGTTTGGAACAAAAATGGATTCAGGGTCGACTTTGCCTTCGAGTGTTTGAGGAGTAAAATAATTTCCTGAGAGAACTTAAACCAACACAGTGGATATTCATTTGATATTGAGAACTTGTGTTGAGAACTAGTTTCTTTTATATACATTTATCCATTCATTCATTCATTCATTCATAATCATTAATTTTATTGTTCCATTTAACCATATAATCACTTATAATAATATTTTAAACCAGGGGTCTCTAAACTCGGTCCTGCAGAGTTTAGCTCCAACTGTCCTGGAAGCTTCTAGTATACCTAGTAAGACCTTGATTAGCTGGTTTAAGCATGTTTGATTAGGGTTGGAGCTAAACTCTGCAGGACACCGGCCCTCCAGGCCCCTGATTTAAATCATTTATATACTTGTTTTATTGATTCATTCGTTGATTAGTCATTTATTTTATTTTTGTATTATTTTCCATTGTTGTTTAATCTTATTGTGTGGTTTTAAAGGGGTCATATGACGTTGCTCAAAAACACATTATTTTTCACACACTGTACATTATTGTTTCTCCTCTATGTCCCGCCTTTCTGTAACGAGTCGATTTTTACAAAGCTCATCGTTCTGAAAAGCGAGGTGTGCTGTGATTGGCCAGCTATCCAGTGCGTTGTGATTGGCCGAATACCTCAATCGTGAAATGTTACGCCCCTCACCATACTGTGATGCCCTGTCCCGGCCGGAGTGACGAGACAAAAACATTAAAACCCATTATAAACGAGGCATTTGTTGCATCCAGTGGGGACATAATTACGGATTATAAGGACTTATACTGTCTTTTTACACGTTGTGTTGCATCGCGCCGCGTAAACATAAAACCATGTCTGCATTTGTGATCGGAGAAATGACAAACAACAAGCGCTACTCTACACTGCTCAAAACTCACGTTTGAATCGTCAGTGGCAAATCCTTAAAATTAAAACGTCCTTACAGTCTGTGAGGCAGAAGAGCCGGCATTGTAGTCTACTCTCCCAGGATCAGGAAACAGTCCTCCATAAAATGTGCTGCACACATCTGAATATTTCGGTTGAAGTGTTCTGGAACAGTGTTGTAAATACAACTTAACCACTGATTTCTAGTCGTGTCCTCTTTTGGAAGACCAAACAAAGTAGTTTAACTTTAACGATGGCGGTGGCAACAATAAAGTTATGCCTTCTTTCTTTGCGTGAACATTTGGGCGGTGTTATGCAAATCTTCCCACATCGTGAGGTAGACGTGTGGGGGCGTGTTTAAATGAGGCGTTTTAGGAGGGCGTGGACGAGTCTTTGCAACTTCAGGGATCTTATCTACTCACGAACAGCTTGTAACACTCTAAAGAGAAAGGAAAAGTTGAAATCGCATCATATGACCCCTTTAAGGGTTATTTGTCTTCACGAGTAAAGATATAAGAGAATGTCTCAATTTCAAGGTTTTTAAGGTTGGATGTTGGTTTTTAACAGGACGTTGCTATTGCTTGTTGTGGTATAACACTCGTTGCATTTGTGCTGCTCAGATGAAGTCTGAGCATTGAAACACGAAACTAAGATTATTCAATAAACTGCTCTTCTCTGGCTTTACTCAGTCAACTTCTTAGCTGATAGAAGATTATTACAGTTTTGGGTACTAGACAAGACTTGCTGCTAACAGGTTTTTGGTATCAGAAAACTAAAAAAATTTGTATTTTCTCTCTCTCTCTCTCTCTATATATATATATATATATATAGTATAGCACATACTGATTTATTAACTCTTCTGAAGTCAAAAAATGAGTATTGTGTTCTCTAAAAATGAATATCAAACATGTCTGAAAACATGGCATCTTTTTGTTATTTTGACCAATTGTCATTTCAAGCTCTAAATCAGTGGTTCTCAAACTGGGGTACGTGTACCCCTGGGGGTACGTGAGATGACGGATGGGGGGTACGCGAACAAAATTCTGAGTTTTGGCATTCATTTAATTCTACCCCAACGCAAAAGTAACATTAAAACCGAACGTATTTCTGACAAGCAAAATGCCGCTCTAATGTAAAAACAGGAAAATGGGAGTGCCGTAAGTAAACGGTCAAATACATGATATCCAATCAGCTTACCTCATCTTCTGACACACAAGCAGCGTGCATGTGATGGGATGCCCACTGAATATGCTGCTTTAGCAAATCGCACTGCTGTTCAATGTATCTTTAAAGTAGATCTTCACTTAATAGCATGACGAGCAAATGTTGACACGGACTGAGATCGATTTAAACTCTCTTCGATACAGACACACTGTGCGTGTTATTGTGTTCATGTTTAAGATGCGAGCAAGAATGCAAATTTCCCTGAATATCCAAACGATGGCAAATGTGCCATTAATTTTTTACAATAGTTCAACAAAAAAAGGTAATATTAAGTGAACATTTTACATTTGAAATGTAGCCTACATTTTAAACAGTCATGTTTGTTCTATTTTGCAACAAAATAATAATAGTGCCAACGGAATCCATATCATCTGGTGTGCGTCTCCAAGCAACATACAGCGGTGTTTCATTAGAGAACGAATCTGCGGCTTTGAACGATTTGGAGAGTCAGTGATTAATAACACATTCATAACTACAGCATTTTGCTTCTTTACTGAATGAATGAATGAATGACGTGACGCCTGGCTCATTAAGACAGCGACTTGCTGCCACATACACTCTTAAAAATAAAGGTGCTTCAAAAGGTTCTTCAAGCGATGCCATAGAAGAACCATTTTTGGTTCCACAAAGAACCATTCAGTCAAAGAACCATCTCTTTCTTACCTTTTTGTAATCTGAAGAACCTTCTTTCACCACAAAGAAGCTTTTGTGAAACAGAAAGGTTCTTCAGATGTTAAAGGTTCTTTATGGAACCATTTAGACAAAAAGGTTCTTCTATGGCATCGTGAAGCACCTTTATTTTTAAGAGTGTATTGGTGGTTTTATTTTTAAATCTACAAGTATCACCTTGATTTCACAATTTATTGCTTTATTTAATATATTAATAATACACTTAATGGAATGTTAAGAATATGATATAAAATATGACATGAGATACAATTAATAAGGATAGAAAATATTTGCCTCAAAGGTAAAAAAAAGCACCTTTAAATCAATTTAAGGGGGCAAATTGTCCTTTAATATAAAAGGTGTGACTGCGGTCTAAGTGGAAGAGCGGGGGTACGCAGAAGAATGTTAAATGCCCCAGGGGTGCGCCGCTGTAAAACGTTTGAGAACCACTGCTCTAAATGACAAAATTTTTATTTAAAATGTCTTCGGTCGTTTACAGAATAAAACAAAAATTGTGTTACTCAAACACATAATTATAAATCCAGAGAAACATAGAACTTTCAAGTGTTCTCTTAATTTTTTCCATAGCTGTATATATATGACTTTACCCACAGTAATGTCAAATGCATATTGTTTGTTTTTGATACATTGCTCTTATTCATTTTGCCATTTGATGTTGATGCAAGATACTAGGGCTGTGCGATATTGAAGAAAAATGCGATATGCGATACGATAATGCTTAAAGTGCCACATGCTCAGATGAAACAGTTTTACTCAGCTGTTGCCGAGTCAGTTCTGTGAACTTCTATAACTATCTTGTGTCATATATATATGGTTATTTGCATGCATGCATGTATGTACGTATGTATGTATGCATGTATGCATGTATGCATGTATGTATGTAGATGACCCTATAGCAAGCATTACATGGTGTTTCCTTTGGAAAGTCTTCAAATGCAGTGTTCCCAATACTGGTTTCAGAGTTCCCCCGACTCTGCACATTTTTAATGTCTCCTGTTTCTGACACGCCCAATTCAGGTAATAGAGTCTTGACTAATGAGCTTTTGAACGGAATCGTGTGTTAAAATATGATTTTAATTTTCTATGCTGCACTCACCTACATCTCTTGGCCTCTTCCGACAATTCGATCAGCTGTGTAACTCAAATAATTTTTCATTTCAGTTTCACAGTCCCCCCTGGTTATATTATGTTTGGAAGCAGCATCTGAAAGAGTATAGAGTCACCATTATAAAGACTGACTGGAAAGTGAAGGCAAATGTTGACCAAATATAAACAAAACAAACAGAAATGTGGGTAGGTTCTGCAGCAGTGATATTACATTTGATTATATTGACTAAAACAAGATGAGAAATTGGTCTTTTGTTTTGCTATATATTTACATTACAAGATCAAGGCATATGGAGCTCTGTTGATTCAGCTGCCAAGCTAACAAGAGCTTTCTGAAAGTAAGCCACACCAGGGTTTGACTGCAGGGGTGTGGCAACAGGTACATTTGGAACAGTTTGCTTTGTTTTGTTGTGTTACACACGCACGTATTCGCATTTTACAATTTAAGACTGTGTTTGCTTGTGTGCATGCAAAGCAGCTCAAATTGCATTCCTCTGTTTGCCAGCGGCCACTATTGTGTAAAATCAATGAGGGAAAGTATTTATGTAGGGTATGTACTGAGAGTCTGCCCTAGATTCTGAGTTTTGGCATTCATTTAATTCTACCCCAACGCAAAAGTAACATTAAAACCGAACGTATTTCTGACAAGCAAAATGCCGCTCTAATGTAAAAACAGGAAAATGGGAGTGCCGTAAGTAAACGGTCAAATACATGATATCCAATCAGCTTACCTCATCTTCTGACACACAAGCAGCGTGCATGTGATGGGATGCCCACTGAATATGCTGCTTTAGCAAATCGCACTGCTGTTCAATGTATCTTTAAAGTAGATCTTCACTTAATAGCATGACGAGCAAATGTTGACACGGACTGAGATCGATTTAAACTCTCTTCGATACAGACACACTGTGCGTGTTATTGTGTTCATGTTTAAGATGCGAGCAAGAATGCAAATTTCCCTGAATATCCAAACGATGGCAAATGTGCCATTAATTTTTTACAATAGTTCAACAAAAAAAGGTAATATTAAGTGAACATTTTACATTTGAAATGTAGCCTACATTTTAAACAGTCATGTTTGTTCTATTTTGCAACAAAATAATAATAGTGCCAACGGAATCCATATCATCTGGTGTGCGTCTCCAAGCAACATACAGCGGTGTTTCATTAGAGAACGAATCTGCGGCTTTGAACGATTTGGAGAGTCAGTGATTAATAACACATTCATAACTACAGCATTTTGCTTCTTTACTGAATGAATGAATGAATGACGTGACGCCTGGCTCATTAAGACAGCGACTTGCTGCCACATACACTCTTAAAAATAAAGGTGCTTCAAAAGGTTCTTCAAGCGATGCCATAGAAGAACCATTTTTGGTTCCACAAAGAACCATTCAGTCAAAGAACCATCTCTTTCTTACCTTTTTGTAATCTGAAGAACCTTCTTTCACCACAAAGAAGCTTTTGTGAAACAGAAAGGTTCTTCAGATGTTAAAGGTTCTTTATGGAACCATTTAGACAAAAAGGTTCTTCTATGGCATCGTGAAGCACCTTTATTTTTAAGAGTGTATTGGTGGTTTTATTTTTAAATCTACAAGTATCACCTTGATTTCACAATTTATTGCTTTATTTAATATATTAATAATACACTTAATGGAATGTTAAGAATATGATATAAAATATGACATGAGATACAATTAATAAGGATAGAAAATATTTGCCTCAAAGGTAAAAAAAAGCACCTTTAAATCAATTTAAGGGGGCAAATTGTCCTTTAATATAAAAGGTGTGACTGCGGTCTAAGTGGAAGAGCGGGGGTACGCAGAAGAATGTTAAATGCCCCAGGGGTGCGCCGCTGTAAAACGTTTGAGAACCACTGCTCTAAATGACAAAATTTTTATTTAAAATGTCTTCGGTCGTTTACAGAATAAAACAAAAATTGTGTTACTCAAACACATAATTATAAATCCAGAGAAACATAGAACTTTCAAGTGTTCTCTTAATTTTTTCCATAGCTGTATATATATGACTTTACCCACAGTAATGTCAAATGCATATTGTTTGTTTTTGATACATTGCTCTTATTCATTTTGCCATTTGATGTTGATGCAAGATACTAGGGCTGTGCGATATTGAAGAAAAATGCGATATGCGATACGATAATGCTTAAAGTGCCACATGCTCAGATGAAACAGTTTTACTCAGCTGTTGCCGAGTCAGTTCTGTGAACTTCTATAACTATCTTGTGTCATATATATATGGTTATTTGCATGCATGCATGTATGTACGTATGTATGTATGCATGTATGCATGTATGTATGTATGTATGTATGCATGTATGTATGTATGTATGTATGTATGCATGCATGTATCAAGAGCTCCTGTACCGTGATGCCCAGAAATGTTGCCTAGCTAGACAAGCTTGCTAGGTTTTAAGACGCATCCACGATAAACACATCAATTCAGTAGAAGTTGTCAACAAACATAAACATCCCGACAGCAGTAACAGGCTACTAGGACGGTTTACATCTCAAGTATTTATTTGCAATTAACACCGCTTTTAATGCCTTCTTAAAATACATAAAATAGTGATGATAACGTTTGTAGATTTCACGAGATGTATGTATGTATGTATGTATGCATGTATGTATGTATGTATGTATGTATGCATGCATGTATCAAGAGCTCCTGTAAAACCACAACAAATCTTTTTTGTTCGCGCACACTTAAGTGGTGAATAAAGCTCATTCTGATTCTAATATAACTAGCATACATGTTTCACTTTTTGTGAGAAGAAAGCACCCCTACAACAACTTCTGAACGTGAACGGTAGTGTTTTACTCGAGCATTACATAAAAATGTCATTTTAACATGAGTTTAGCAACTGAATAATAAAAAGGAAAAATACAACACTGCTTAGTGTGCTTTACTCTATGAATTCGATATGCACTGATTCTTATTTAAGCTACAAAAGTTATTTAGGTAAGAGCAGCGAGTGATTATTTCTTTGTCTTTTGTTCCCTAAATATTGCAAGCCGTAGCGATATGCATATTGCGGTATTTCGATATATTGCACAGCCCTACAAGATACTACGGAAGTTTTACAATCTGAGGGTGGTATGTAAACATTTTCAATATCTGTGTCCAGATATCCGACAAAAACAGATAAAGTTCTGCATCTGTAAAAGAATGAGGGTTTGACTGATAACACACATGTATGCAGATAACCTCTGCACTGATAACCTTACCTTTGAAGGGTTGAAATTGACATTTTTAGCGCTGCCATGCTCATCGCCTGAAACAGCTGGCTGGTTGTTAAATCCTTGCTTGACGTTCAATGCCGTCAACTCATCCTAACCAACGAGAGAGATGTGTTACTAAATGCCTCATGCATGCATTTTCATTTCAGTGTGTGCTGGAGAGTTAATCAAACACCAGAGAACGACAATCACTCATTCATCCAAACCAGTTCTCAAAATGCATCAACACAACAAACACTGCATTCAGACAGGAAAACCTGCAGGTGCAATTATAAGACTTCACATGCAATGCCAACAAATAATAAGACTCATGATGCACTCCACATAATGAAAAAGAGATATTCAAATATACTTGCATATGCATTTTCTGTTTCTTCAGTTTGCTGACAACTGAGACTGTTTCTAGCTAGACAGGCATTACATGCACGTATATTTTTTGCATGCATAGATCATCAATGCACACAATTCTTAAGGAACCCGTGATGCCCAGAAATGTTGCCTAGCTAGACAAGCTTGCTAGGTTTTAAGACGCATCCACGATAAACACATCAATTCAGTAGAAGTTGTCAACAAACATAAACATCCCGACAGCAGTAACAGGCTACTAGGACGGTTTACATCTCAAGTATTTATTTGCAATTAACACCGCTTTTAATGCCTTCTTAAAATACATAAAATAGTGATGATAACGTTTGTAGATTTCACGAGGCCCTTTTTAAAGGTGCGATGAAAGCAGCTTTAAATAGAAAGCTCGATAAATACAGATTTTAAAGCCGAGTTAAACCAATAAAATAATCCCTTTTCTCTCTGTAACCATCTGCAATCCCAACCAAAGATGAAGCCCGAAATCATTTGAGGCATAAATTATGTTTTTCTGTCTCGGTTCAGCTAACCGAGCCGTTGGTTTCATTGTTATTGGCCGTTAGGTGAAAGCAGGGCCTGCTCTCAAAACACGCTTTAATTCGCTATTTATATATTAAATGTCGCTACAGAGGAAGAGGGAAAGTCGTCTAACCTCCTTTTGCTTCGGGTCCTGCGGATAAACGTCCGGAGGACCGAGTCTGGGCCGTTTGAGAGGCCTGTGTTCGTAGCTCAGAATGCCGAAGGCAGCCATCATCCCCGCGGCATGTCAGCCGGTGTGTGGCCGAGCCTGAGCGCTGCTTCTGCGGCTAGAGCTCCGCTGCTTCCCCGCTGCTTCCGCTCCGGCGAGAATGATGGGTAAACACGAGACAACATAAGAGTCCCTCCAGCACAACAAACGGAGCTTCTTCGATGGATTTGACTTTCTCGCAGCGTCGTTGTGGTTAATTTGTTTTGTGCTGTGTTTTTCATTAATGATCATATTTGGGAAATTAAAAATGCTTTTCATGTTTACTATTTAGGATGATAAAAGTCCTAAGTGAGTGCCATGGAATCATCAATAATATTTCATAGTACATAATGTTTATATAATGTATGCCATATTTAAAAAAAAAATGTATTTACATAATATGTGTGTGTGTGTGTACTGTGTATATTTATGATGTATATATAAATATACAAACATACATGTATCTATTTAAAAAATATTTACACACACACACACACACACACACACACACACACACACACACACACATATATATATATGTATATATACATGCATGTGTGTGTATTTATATAGGCTACATAATAAATATACACAGTACACACACATATATTATGCAAACAAAAACGTTTATTTTGGATGTGATTAGTCCCGATACTAAAAATAACGCATAATTAGAAATGACATGAAAATTGACTCTGACAAAAGATATTAAAGCACACACACACACACACACTAACAGACTTGGGTTTCCATGTTTTATGGTGACTTTCCATAAACATGATGACTTTTATACTGTGCAAACTGTATTCTATCCCCTTTTTACATTTGTAAAAAAACAACACACAGCTTAATATGATTTATAAACTGTTTCCCCAAAAAGTGTCTCCACAAGGTCAAAAAATAAAATAAAATAAATAAAAAATTACCATGGCTTACCTAAACACACATACACACACACCAGTTAAATGTATAAATATAATCTTTATTCAATTAAAGTATTTTTTGTAACAATCATAAAACAAGTGTTCATAAAACAACCACAAAACTATAATCTCTGAATCATAAAGAACAAGGCAACTCTTAATGATAAGCATACTGTATCTAAGCTTATGAACCAGTTTCTCTTTATCTTGATATTTCCAAGACAAACATCTAAACAGATACTGCACGGTATGCCATATATATTTATACAAAAATATATATAGACCCCCAAAGGCCTTGCATGTTTCAGGTACATAAATGTTCACTGTGCAATTTTCAGCCTGGAAAATAAAACCAACCAAGTCATCCATTCCTGAAGAGATCACAAAGTGTAGTCTTGAGATGAAGTAGTACAGTCACTCCTCAAGAATGAATGAGATATTTAGCATTACAATCTTCCCAGCCTCCATGTGTGCATGAAACTACCTTGATTTCAAACATAAATTAAAGTCTCTTTGGATTCTCCGGAGGATATAATCAACCCAGCATAATGACAATCAATGAAAGTTGTAAGCAAAAAAATTTTTTTTTTTAAATCAGAACAGCATATTACGCAGAAATCGTACAAATAAGAACGTTGAATTATTGCAAGAATTCACATTGCACATTTTCGTCACTAAAACACTATTCGCACAATGCTTTTGACAGATATCTGCCAAATATATGACAGCAGAGGCACACAACTTACACAGTATGAGTAACAACAAAAGCACAAGCAGATATAAAAATAAACATTTTGTGCTGATTTCTGGAATGTTTGATATGTGTGACTGATCTGAACGTCATCTTTGGTTGGATTCATATATGCCTGAAAACCTCAGATACAAATAAGGCAAATCAATAGGATACCTTATGGTCGATACATATCTTGCATACTTTTACACAGCAAATAAATGCTTAAAGACAGGAAAACAAATACATTATCAGTGTGCAAAATCTACTTCCTCCAAACCCAAGTAGAAGGAAGTCTCGTATGAGAAACACACTCAGTCAACACTTGTTCAGACTGACTCCAGGAGTCCTGATGCTTCTGCGGAAGGCAGGATTCTTCAGCCACGTAACACAAATAAAGTGCCATCAACATGAACGTTTCCGTCGGACATCATACACTATATAAACTCAGAATCTCTCTGTGTGCTAATAACAACATGAGCATCGTCTTAAAGTACACCAAACAAACGGACAATCTCAGTTTGAGCAGCTTCAAGGATTTCAGTCTTCTCAGCTGGCTGGAGGAGCTCTGCTCTCTCCGGATGTGTCTCTGTGTCTCTCTGGATGTCTTCAGTGGCTGCTGACTTCTTAGGGGTGACTAAGCGTTTCTTCAGCTGCCAACATCATGGCACGAAAACGTGAGTCTTCATCAGCCAGCAGGTTTGAAGGGGTGTCAAACTCCAAAATCTATTTCAAAGATGAGAAGATGTCACATCAGCATGACTTTGACTTGCTACTGTACATGCAGTCCATACTGTGTATTACAGGCAGTGTTTTGACACAAAATATCAAACCAAGTGCAATCTCTAAACAAATGACACACTGCTCTGAGTCAGTTATTCTACACATAGAAAGAATACATCCGATAAATGCATTAACGGTTTGAAAACACACCACTGTTAAACATGTAATTTCAATTTCATGTGTAAATGTTAATTTGACAGCTCTGTCTATGTGTATTTGTGTTGATGTCTGGTTTTTATCCAGTACTGCATTTTATTAAATTCTGAAAACTTCTATAAAGAGGTAGGTCTGTTAAATATACACCGCATTTATAGAATAAAATGTCTAATACGATTATATTTTCACATTCACATGTAATCTGACATGTACATTAACGGTTTGAAAACACACCACTGTTAAACATGTAATTTCAATTTCATGTGTAAATGTTAATTTGACAGCTCTGTCTATGTATATACACTGCATTTATAGAATAAAATGTCTAATACGATTATATTTTCACATTCACATGTAATCTGACATGTAAGATTCATTATGCTCTGTGAGATTTCTAAAGACTGCACCTTTTGTGTTTGATTATCACATTAATTATGAACCTGAACAATGACAATTCTCCAAATATCTTGATTTTGAGTGTTATATCTATGGTTTTATCAGTAAAAAAAAAAAAACATTGTAAAAACTTGTGTTTTGTGGATGCTTGAGCTGTTTCTTGTAAATGCCACTTGGTTTAATGTTTTGTTGTCTATGCACTGACACTTAAACATAAGGGTGAGTGATGTCACGACTATAGACTCTATAGTGACCAAAAGATCACGGTTATCAATATTATCACGGTATTATTTAAATGTGCTGGATGCACCTGAACAATGACAATTCTCCAAATATCTTGATTTTGAGTGTTATATCTATGGTTTTATCAGTAAAAAAAAAAAAACATTGTAAAAACTTGTGTTTTGTGGATGCTTGAGCTGTTTCTTGTAAATGCCACTTGGTTGAATGTTTTGTTGTCTATGCACTGACACTTAAACATAAGGGTGAGTGATACTGGCAAAAAAAGATTTCAATAATTTTGGGGATTTTGTCGATATCGATAACTAGATGAGCGTGTTTTTGTGCTGGTACTTAAGGCTCCCAACGACAGTTAGAGATTAAGGTTTATAAAGTTGTAAATATGGATATTTTTCTAACACAAACGCATCAGAAGGCCTTTATTAACCCCCCGGAGCCGTGTGGACTTCTTTTATAATGGATGGGTGCAATTTTTTGGACTTCAAATTTTGGGCTATCATCCACTCCCATTATAAAGCATGGATTAGCCTGGACCTTAATTAATTTAACTCCGATTGTATCCGTCTAAAAAAAGAAAGTCATATACACCTCGGATGGCTTGAGGGTGAGTAAATCATGGGGTAATTTTCTTTTTGGGTGAACTATCCCTTTAAATCGATTTCTAGGGACATTTTTTACCTTCGTAAGGTTACTAGTATTAGATGTAAGCTTAATCTTTTATGTCCAATTCTTATGGTTAATCAGTGCATTTATTTAGAATAATAAGACACTATAGGAGTGTTTTCAGTCCATTGACGAAAACAAAACAAAACAAAACAGTCTTTGGGGTCACTGTATCATAATCATTAAAACAACAGCAGATGAAGGAGGAGACGCACCTGCCCCTGGTCCAGGACCATGATCCTGTCACAGTTCAGCACAGTGTTGAGGCGATGCGCGATCACGAGAGTGCTGCAGCCACTGAACGAGGTGCGAATGGTGTCCTGTATGAGGCGGTCTGTCTCTGTGTCAATCGCAGCTGTTGCCTCGTCTAACAGCAGGATCTGAAACACACGTCACAAGATTACATGCAGCACAAATCTGTGATCATGAACGTTATGGCCAGTCATTTCTCCTGCACTGTAATGTTTTTTAGAGCACGCTCTTTTTTGTGTGTGTTTTGACATATGTGACAATTTTAATCATTTTTGTGACATTTGTGACAATTTTATAAGGGTCAATTTTTCAAATTTGAGATTTATGCATCATCTGAAAGCTGAATAAATAAGCTTTGATGTATGGTTTTTTAGGATAGAACAATATTTGGCTGAGATACAACTATTTGAAAATCTGGAATCTGAAAATATTGAGAAAATCATCTTTAAAGTTGTCCAAATGAAGTTCTTAGCAATGCATATTGCTAATCAAAAATTAAGTTTTGATATATTTACAGTAGGAAATTTACAAAATATCTTCATGGAACATGACCTTTACTTAATATCCTAATGATTTTTGGCATAAAAGACAAATCGATAATTTTGACTCATACAATGTATTTTTGGCTATTGCTACAAATATCCCCCAGCGATTTAACACTGCTTTTGTGCTCCAGGGTCACACATGTCTAACTGAAACGGTGGCAGGACAAATCGAATGGCTTGTCTTGTAATTTAAAATAAAATAGCCAATAGTCTATGGTGATTTGAAGTAATGAAGCAAATACACAAATTATTCAGTAAAGATATATGATTATTATTTAAGTTGTATAAACTGGTGGTTCTCAACCAGGGGACCTCAGCAAACGTTTACGCTGGCCTTGTATGTGAATGCTAAGAACCGCTGGTTTAACTTTTCCCTGAAGAGGAATCATGTATCTATGTGAAAGATAATCAGGTGTCACTGATGTAACTCCTGTGCTTTATGTAAACTGTTACATCATGTCCCGATCTCATATCATTGCACATACTGTGCAAATGTTTACATTGTCCGCAACAGAGAAGACTTTGGAAAGAACTCTATACTTGTGATCTTTCAATAGTCTGCCATGTGGTGGCAATGTTTCACCATTTTACAACCGCTGAGATTCACCAGTGCTTCACAACAGCATGATGAATGCAACTAACACACTGCAACTAACCATATAATCAAATATAGGCAAAGTAGCTAAATAAACCAGTTCATCCGTTTTAAAGGGGGAGAAGAAAGCTTTAGTTGTTGATGATATTTTGGCCCAAATTCTCTTACTTGATAGAAGCTAGTCAAATTAGGCAGATGCCAACAATACAGTTCCTGGAAGCATTCATTTATTTCAAGATTCACTTTTGCAAGAACAATGTGTTGTTTCTTATTTCAGTCCGGCTGAGAAGCAGCGCTGGGTTCAACAGTTACCTTGCTGTGTCTGAGAAGAGCTCTGGCCACACACAGCAGCTGTCTCTCTCCCACTGAGAAGTTCTCTCCGTTCTCCGTCACGTCTGAATGCAGTGAATTAGGCAGCTGGCTTACCTGAAACCAAATCAACACGTGACAAGCTCTCAGGCACAGCTACTCCAAAGCCAATACAAAGTCAGGCTAGAGGTGAATATCCCGTCATATCACGACTATAGACTCTATAGTGACCAAAAGATCACGGTTATCAATATTATCACGGTATTATTTAAATGTGCTGGATGCAGTGTAGGGGAAAGTTACTTTTAAAAGTAATGCATTACAATATTGCTAATTTTGTTTAATGTGGAGTGGAAGAGAAGCGGTGGTGCAAACTGATCGTCTCCTCCGCTTTAATAGCAGTTTCAGCACGAAATAAACATGAATGAACATCCGAAGGTGTTAAAAGAAAGAGTACAACTTACCGAAATGCGTCTCCTGTCTCATGTAATCAATGTTTCAAAAGATGTCAGTATAACAGCTTGTGTTATACGATCACATTTACATCTATTGCTAAAACTAATCATCAAAGACATTGGTTAATAGAATGGGATTAAATACATAAAGGATATTTGTGCTGTTTAACATTTAATTATTGCAGGTTTGCGTCATATTCTGAGTTGCATTCTTTTTATTCATTTTGAGGAATACTGAATCTGTGTGTGTTTTTTTTTTGTGAGTGAGATTAATTTATGCATATTCATATTTATTTTAGAACTACAGTAACATCTTCTGATTTCTCTCAACATGGGGACAGGAGAGCTGTCAGTCAATAAATTGAAAAAAAAAGTAACTTGCATTACTTATTTGAAAAAGTAACTCAGATATTCTCTTGTAAATTAAAAAAGTAATGCATTACTTTACTAGTTACTTGAAAAAAGTAATCTGATTACATAACTCACGTTACTTGTAATGCATTACCCCCAACACTGGCTGGAAGTGTTCAAATAGTACTCATACACAACAACTAAAATGAGCAGCACTATGCACTTTTTGTTTTTGTTTGTTAAAAATGTTGGCTGGGGTTTAAACAAACAAAAAATACTGGTTGGGTGACTTACAACATAACATGTTATCTACTAACATGTTCTACAGACTCTTATTAACTTTTCTTAATGCTGAGCAGTATTTACCACAAGTTTTTTTTTTCCAAATAGCGATAATCAAATTAGGTTTTAATGATAATTAAAATATTAAAACGGTAATACTAACCATTGGGACTTTTAATCGTGGTTTATCGTCAAACCAGCGATCGTTTCATTCCTACAGTAAGTCAATCTAAAACCTTCTGCTTTTACTCACCATGTCCTTAACGTGCGTTTTCTCCAGTGCTTCCCAGATCTGTGCATCTGTATACTGATCCCAGGGATCCAGATTTGATCTGTTGGTTATATAAGCAACTTAGTCAGCATAAACTGACCCTAGTCTTACTGCACACGCTTCATCAAGAGGATGTTTGTCTTTGTAATCTTTCATCAAAATGTAATTACTTGCTCTACTTCTGAAATGCCATTCAAAAGTTTGGGATCAGGAAGATGTTTAATGTTTTTGTAAGAAGTCTCTTCTGCTCATCAAGGCTGCATTTATTTGATCAGAAATATAGTAAAAACAGTAATATTGTGAAATATTATTACAATTTAAAACAAGTGTTTTCCATTTGAATATATTGTTAAAATGTAATGTATTTCTGTGATGCGCAGCTGTATTTTCAGCATCATTACTCCAGTCTTCAGTGTCACATGATCTTCAGAAATCATTCTAATATGCTGATTTATTATCAGTGTTGGTTCTGCTGCTTATTATTTCTTTGGCAACTTTGATACTTTTTTTTAGGATTCTTTGATGAATAAAGTTCAAAAGAACAGAATTTATTAAAAATAGAAATCTTTTGTAACAATATAACTCTTTACTGTCTCTTCTTATCAATTTAACACATCCTTGCTGAATAAAAGTATACATTTAAAAAAAATAAAATAAAGAAAGAAAAAATGTACTGACCTAAAACTTTTGAACAGTCGTGTAAATTGTTACAAAGAATTTCTTTTTTTGAATAAATGCTTTTTTTTTTTATCAAAGAATCCTGAAAAAATATCACAGGTTCCAAAAAAATATTAAGCAGCACAAGTGTTTCCAACACTGATAATAAATCAGTATATTAGAATGATTTCTGAAGGATCATGTGACACTGAAGACTGGCGTAATGATGCTGAAAATACAGCTTTGATCACGGAAATAAATTACATTTTAAAATATATTTAAAAAAATAATAATAATATGTAATAATATTTCACAATATTACTGAAGTTTTTTTTTATTAAATAAATGTAGCTTAGATAAGCATCTGAGAGCCTTCTTTAAAAAAAAAACATTAAAAATTATTTTAAATTGTAATATTTCACAATATTACTGAAGTTTTTTTTTATTAAATAAATGTAGCTTAGATAAGCATCTGAGAGCCTTCTTTAAAAAAAAAACATTAAAAATTATTTTAAATTGTAATATTTCACAATATTACTGAAGTTTTTTTTTATTAAATAAATGTAGCTTAGATAAGCATCTGAGAGCCTTCTTTAAAAAAAAAACATTAAAAATTATTTTAAATTGTAATATTTCACAATATTACTGAAGTTTTTTTTTATTAAATAAATGTAGCTTAGATAAGCATCTGAGAGCCTTCTTTAAAAAAAAAACATTAAAAATTATTTTAAATTGTAATATTTCACAATATTACTGAAGTTTTTTTTTATTAAATAAATGTAGCTTAGATAAGCATCTGAGAGCCTTCTTTAAAAAAAAAACATTAAAAATTATTTTAAATTGTAATATTTCACAATATTACTGAAGTTTTTTTTTATTAAATAAATGTAGCTTAGATAAGCATCTGAGAGCCTTCTTTAAAAAAAAAACATTAAAAATTATTTTAAATTGTAATATTTCACAATATTACTGAAGTTTTTTTTTATTAAATAAATGTAGCTTAGATAAGCATCTGAGAGCCTTCTTTAAAAAAAAAACATTAAAAATTATTTTAAATTGTAATATTTCACAATATTACTGAAGTTTTTTTTTATTAAATAAATGTAGCTTAGATAAGCATCTGAGAGCCTTCTTTAAAAAAAAAATATATATATATTACTGATCCAAAACGTTTGAACGGCAGTTTATGTCCACTTTTTTACAATCCGATCTATTCCAGATGGATAAAATGTCTAGTCCTACACTCTAAAAAATGCTGGGTTGTTTTAACCCAACTGTTGGGCTAAATTTTTCAATTACATTTTTAACCCAAAAGTTGGGTTAGTCCATATTTGACCCAAAGTTGGGTTAAAACAACCCAGCATTTTTTAGAGTGTACATTTTGTCTTGTTGAATATCCTGTTTCACATTGAAGTACTGTATGTGACACTGTGTAAGTGAAATGGGTTGCATCATTTTGACTCCAGGAATGATAACACACGGCTAGTCTTGGTAAAGTGACGTGGACCGTACCTGACAGTACCAATGAAAAGAACCGGCTCTTGGGGGATGACTGACAGCTTGCTCCTCAAGTCCTCCAGACCAATGTGAGCGATGTTGACACCATCAATGATGATTGATCCTCGGCTGAGCTCTGCTAGTCTGAAGAGTGCGACGCCCAGTGAAGATTTACCTGAAGAAACAACCCACCTGTGTCACAATCTATTTCCTCCACCAATAACACGACCGCAGCAGTACAGACGAACACAAACGACATCTGATAGGATAAAATAGCCAAGTAGACAGGTGTACCTGAACCCGTTCTGCCAACTATCCCTACGGTCTCTTCTGGAAGTACACTAAAGGAGAGATTCTTCAGAACCAGAGGAAGGTCATCCCGATATCGCATTTCCACATTCTGGAAGGTGATTCGTCCTTCTTCTGGCCAGCTGGAAGCAGGAGCGGAGGAGCCGCAGATCTGTCGGGTACCTTCGCTTTCCAGGTTCTGAGTGAATAATGATTATCCGCATTATTTTTAATGTAAGAGCAGCTGCTGCCATTATAGTAACTTGAACGTGCGAGGCTTCCGGTGTCATTCAGCTGTACAAAATAGTCTGTTATGCTGCTGTTATGCTTATTGCAAACTGGTATATGTTATGAAATTATTTTAATGCATAATTATAAACACACTGGTTTGTAGTAGGCATGTGAGAGACTAGTTGACTAGACGATACTGCTGCTGCTAGTAAGCACTGGAAAAACTAGTCTTTTTTTTTTGCGCCTTTTTGTTTTGATTTTTATTTGTTCAAAGGCTTTTTATGCTACTGGTTATGCAGGACAATAGTGCTATGACATTTTATACGAGTTTAGGGAAAATATTATGAATGAAACTTACTTAACGACAAAAACAGTTGCTACGTCAATATCCTTACGAATAGAATACCTGTAAATAATCTATAGTTGCCAGTAGGGCAGAGAACAAAATTCACGATTCGTTTCGATTTGGATTCACAAGCTTGCGATTTGATTCAAAATTTAATTCGATAGTGATTATTTGGAATATATATCAGGTGCAGTACATGGCAAATTTTCTCATGGAAAAACTAATAATAAATTAACTAATTTATACACAAACACTTAAATTACACTCAATGAAGTTTTTATAATAATAAAGTTATAATACTTACTTTACAATTACGTAATTGTTTTTCTACTCCAAATCAAAAAACATTTAAATGGTGGCTGTCACTTGACAAATTTATTCAAACATAAATATTGAAGAACAGTAAAAATTATAATGAATATGTCGTATGGTGCTTAATTTTTCTAGCTGAAGTTTGTTTTTTCTGATGTAAATGTGATCGTATAACACAAGCTGTTATACTGACATCTTTTGAAACATTGATTACATGAGACAGGAGACGCATTTCGGTAAGTTGTACTCTTTCTTTTAACACCTTCGGATGTTCATTCATGTTTATTTCGTGCTGAAACTGCTATTAAAGCGGAGGAGACGATCAGTTTGTGCTACCGCTTCTCTTCCACTCCACATTAAACAGCGCCAAAATGGTATTTGATTGAATATTGTAATAAAATGGACAGAATTCGAAATCGGAGACTTTGTTTGATATCAAAAGTAACAAAACACAAAGCTTATTGAGATTTATTGAATAGGAGGCGCGTTACAATGTTCCCGTTCATTAATTGAAAACAGGTTAGACTAATTGATTCTTGGGATTTAAGAATCAATATTGTTTCAGAAAAATAAGAATCGATTAATATCGAGAAATCTATATTTTTTACCCAGCCCTAGTTGCCAGTAGATGCCAAGTTTTCTTGCAATTTTGTTATATTTATAGGTACTTTTTATACACAAGAAGTGTGTTCAAACAGCAAAGGTAAAGAACAGCAGCCAGCAGGCTTATTCTGCACAGCTTCTCCAGAGTCCGATTTGGTGAACCGGTTCAATTATTTCATCAAAAAGAACCGGTTCGAAAGAATGATTCGATCATGAGCCAGACATCACTCCGGACCCATTGTCTGAGGCTCTGGATTTCAGGTAATAATGTTGTAAATAATGTTCGGTTTCTTGCACAGACTGATTGTTTCTCTTCATAAGACCTTAATATATCATCAGGAGCCATGGGGATTCATTTTGTGTTTCTTGATATGCTTTTTTTTATTTATTTTATGAATCACCAAGCACCACAGTTTCAGCTAAAAATCTTCTTTACTGTTCTGCTGAAGAAAAAAGTCACCTACATCTTGGATGGCCTGAGAGTAAATTAAACAGCACATTTTCATTTTTGGGAGAACTATCCCTTTAAGTTTAATATACAATTATCATAATGCAAGGCAAGCCTGTAGACTACAATTTGATTTGATTCATAAATTAAGTAAGCTATTTCAAACGGATCAAAGAGTTTTACTGCACTTCTTTACTCTTCTAGTTATTTACCTATAGCAGTTAATGAATTGGTAGTCTCACAGAAAAAGCTAACTTTTGCAATGCAAAATAAGTTGGATACTTTGTACTTCAGAACTCAGCGAGACCATTATTGGCTTCATTAATCAGTGTAAAATGCTCTCCGCCACAGTAAGACAGCTGTACTGTTCTGCTTTGATAAGAGCCTCCTGAAACAAGCTGTGTCATTCGCTATGATGTTCTGTCTGGCAATAAACGCATCCCATGAAGCCTGCTGAGCGGGATGTAGCAGGCTCAGTATGCAGCGCGCTGACCGCTGGGCTCAGCGGCCTGTGCAAAGTAAAGAGCTGATGTCTTTTGTGCGCTGTGTCAGTTGAATAACAAATGGTCTGTCCCTTTCTATTTGCCATTGACACAACCAGCACGCATGTGTCACAGAAGCTTCTACCTTTATGTAATGATTGATCCGCTCCACTGATGTAAAGCGGGCTTCGGTTTCAGAAAGCAGCCTCACGGTGAACTGAAACAGGCCGGTTAGCTGGATGTGGGAAGGGAAAGAAATGAGCAGTGAATAACAACTGAGCAATAGTGAGCAATGCTAATTAATCATGGCACAGTAACGGTCCTGCCTTACAAGCGTCCCCACTCATGTACAGTGTGTGAGAGCGGCGCACCTGTACGGCGTAGGAGATGGCCAGACCGGCGTAGGCAGGAGGAATGCGGCCGTGCATGAAGACGATGAGGAGGGCTATAGTGGTGATGAGAGAAATGCTGATGAGGTCCAGACGCACAGCCAGCCAGCGCATAGCACAGCTGAACAGATAGTGACACGCTTGGTTTGTGTCAAGCAGGGCTTGATTCCTGGTGGAATATAACCAATATTTAGCCAAAGTCCTTACTTTGCAAGTTTATTCATAACATACTTTGCATCTTGTATATCTATCTATCTATCTATCTATCTATATATATATATATTTTTTAATATATCAATTATATTTTATTATACTACGGGCCGTTGAATGCTTGAATCTGATTGGCTGATGAACATTCTGAGGTGTGCAATTATTTTCAGGGAAACGCACGGCGAACGTAGTTCCAGGCAGCTCTCTTGACCGCATTACAGTTCCATATCACTTCACATAGTTAACTGTAATAACGGGAATTAGCATACAGTACTCATACAGCACACAGGAATTACTGCAATCACACGTGCTCACACACGCACACTATGGTCATGCAGTTTGCACAAATAGGTGTTGTCAGCGCTGCCCTGATGATTTTATCAGTTAGCCTATATAGTGTAGCAACTTAAAGGCTACACATGACATTTCTCACTAGCGAGGTAATAACAGCGCTGTTTAGAGACGCTGCTGCAGAACACTGTTGAGGGATGCACAGAGGTAGCGTAATTCACACGAGCTCTTAATAACTTCATTAATAACTGCATTAGTATGCTATCAACGGCTCAAGCCTCCATTACCAGCTTTAAAATGACGTTTTGGAACTAGCAAAAGAGGCGTTGGATGAGATGCGGAAGAAATAATCCTACTCACAATAACGATTTATGTACAAAAGCCGGACGAATCCCTTTAAATATATCATCTGATCGATGTCTTGAGGTGTGGTAACCGTAGTATAATAATTGACGATGGGCCGTTAAATTATTAGAAAAATAATGCACACCCGAGGTCACCACCTCGGGTTGTCAGGCACGACGCGAAGTTTTCTTGAAAAGTGTGTATTTTAAAGTTTCTTTCCAATAAAAGCCACTAGGTTTGGCATTTTTCATGATTTTCTGATGCAATGCCATTTGTGAGTGTGGCTTGAGCATTGTCTGTGTGTCGTTTGAACTTTGTGCACACTTTCTGCGGCCACGGTGTATACAGACCTCAAGTAAAGTTTCACTTCAGTGTTTGTTTCAGAGAGAAAAGTTCTGCAAAGTCATGGAGGGCATTCTGCTGTGTGAATATTACCTGTGTATGAAGTCAGCACCCCTGCCGTAAGCATAGATAGTGGACAGGCCTTGCAGACTGCTGGTGATATGAGAGGTGAAAGGGGATTGGCTGATATTTTCCAGGCGCTTCAGCTCACAAATGAGAACCCTTTGGGTAAAAAGGACAATCGGAAAAGCATATTTATATACATTTTTCAGGCCCTGACAAAAAGTCAGCCAGTCATAGCATATGAGCGGCGATATACGGCTGAGTTTTGATCAAGGCTCTGGCTCATCTCATCTGCTTATCTGTGTGGCTCACAGAGCTGCCTGTGATGTGACAGGTTAGTGGCTTATGAGATGGAGGCCCACAGAGGGACAATAACGGTGAGACTGAGGGAATCTTTCTGGCTTCTGAACTGATTTATACGGGGCTTTATGGGGCCCGTCACACGTCAGCGCTAACTCAGGCAGGACAGCAGCGTCAGCCAGAGCCAGGCCATTATTGATGAGAAATAAGGCTGATTTCAGCTTGTAAGTGCATATATGAAAAATGCATTGCTTGTGAATAATGTTAATGAATCATACTTTTATTAAAAAGGGGCCAAGTGAAGGAGGACAAACCTGCCCTTGAAATGCTTCATCTAAGACAGATACTACGAAAATACATGTACAAGTGTGGTTCTGTTGCCTTTTTAGACATATTTAAAAATAATAATAATAAATAAAATTATAATAAAATTACATATTTTTCGATTATAATTGTTTATTTAAAATGATTTAGCATTTAATAAAATTAGTCTAGAAATTTTCACTCAGAATTTGCTAGTGAATTTTACAATTACAAATAAATGGCAAGAAAGAAATTTAATTAAACATGAAATTTAGAGGTAGAGAACTGAAATAAAAAAAATAACTACAATAGTTATTTTATTTA